TGTTGACCGCTTTTGGTTGTATTTATGCTGTAAATGACTTTTCAGCTTTTAGAAATCTCTGTTCTACCATCTTACACTGTATAATAGAATGACTCCCTATACCGTTTGTAAGAAATCTTGTTACATGTAGACTGCCCTAGTGACTAGATGTTATGGATCTGTTCATCGCTGCTTAGCCTAGCCAACGAAGTGTAGCTACTTACTCTTACTATTCTGTATGTCCTTATATAGTTTCTGTCCTAATAAATGAGTGCATGGTAAAGAACCAGGAACTCTTTATTGTTATTAATACCCCCTGTGGTTGCGACTGGAACACAAGGCTTCAACTGAACACATCCATGTCATGCCGTTCTCTACAGCCGTCTTTAACTGGCTCCATGACTCCTCATAAGCTTTCATCTCCTCCTGACACGATCTCCTCCATGTCACTCTAAAACCGACTACACCCTCAACTCGCTGTCTCCCAGTCAGATTCTACTCGATGAAGCGGCTCGCGATTTCACTCAGCAGTCAAGCCGCCCCTATTTTCCTGGGCACATTTATTCGTTGAACGACAGGTTACTAGCTGGTTAGTTGACAGTCAGAAATCTTTGTTCCTTATTCTTTACGACTGGTCAAATGATCTTCAGTATGGAGCTAGTGAAGTTGGCTATTGATGTAATTCTGCATTAGCCTTTTTTAAATGATGACACACCAAATCTGTGAATTATCTGAAAGCACTTAGATTCTTTTGTTCTGCATGCTTAGTGCAGTAGATTGAGGAATTCCCAATTAGCTTCAGGATAAAGATAAATGGGATAAGGAGGAAGAAAAAGGCCCTAGAAAAATCCCTAAAGATGTTGACTACTAGAAGTGAAAATCGCGAGAAATCCGCTTTTCTGTAGCAATGTCAAGAGCGAAGAGTAGTGCGGGTTCTCAAAAGTCAGATAGCCTGATTAAGCAGCAGAACTACCAATATTTCGATTATGGAACTTGTAAGGATATGCACTAATTTCAGTTGTTACAGTTTGTCATGAATCAACTCATCAGTTAGAGAGGTCACTGAAAACAATAGGGAACACTCAATAGCTGTTTGGTCTTATTTTGAAACTCCTCACCAGTGTGATTTGATGACCACGACAAAGATCGAACTTTTGGCCTTCAGGTTACTAATTCAAGCTCATTGACGATTCAACCCCTCGGGCGGGTAATCACTGATCCGTGAATTCTAAATCTCGTCTCTAGAAGAATATGGAATGTGAAAAACATGAACTCGCCAAATCGACACAGAGCACACATCTATCATAAATTGAATTGATTACATTAACATCACACTTTGACCTTACTAGTGTTTCAGGAATTGGAGAACCAGTCAGGATGTATCCTAACAGAGCATGATTAAAGGACTACACAACATAAGCATAATAGGAGAGAATTCCTGCAGATATTATAAAACATTTTGATGTGAAAACAAAACTATATTCAGCATTAACACTGCTGCCTATCTTTGTTACTTAGGTTCTTAGGACTCCAAGTCATCTCTTTATTGATACCAAACGACTTACGTACCTAGAGTGTGTGTGATTTACAAGGTAATATCAGATGAAGCAGTGATACCACTTGAGTCTATTAAACTTCTTCGTAATTATTTTAAGTCTGTATTGATTAGACACGAGGTGGTAACCACTGTCAGACGACTAGTCCTTTCGCTGGTGTGGACTGAACTCCATCAGTGAAGTTCACAATATGGCCACCATGAAAGGTGGCTCGAGATCATGGTGCACTTTGAATTCTCGTTATTAGATGTTTGGTGGCAATCGACGGGAAGCAGTGGACATAGTTAAAAGGCTTCCTACTGAATCGGTGAAACACAGCGTGAAGGATACTTCTGGATTTGGTGGAAGGATAAAAGATTTAAATGTTGACAATAAATTCATGATATCATTTGACGTGTCTTCCTTATTCACCGATGTACCACTTATGGAAACAGTAGACTTTGTATGCGAAGAACTCATAAGACGAAACATCGATATTGGCATTCCTATATCTTTTATAAAAGGTCTTCTCTTGAAATTAACAATGAATGTTCACTTTTATTGAATAAGGAAATATACAGACAAATCGATGGAATGGCGATTGGGTCACCACTAGGAACCATTCTAGCTGACATTTTCCTCGCGACACTAGGAAATGGGCGGGCCTTCGAGAGATGCTATTGATGAACCTGAATTCTACTGTCGGTATGAGGTTTACACACTTTTGATTATGAAAATTGAGGAGGAAGCAAAAAACATCCTGGATAAATTTAACGAGGTTCATCCTGCAATAAATTTTACTACTGAAGAAGAAAAGGACTCTAGTATTTCATTTCTAGACGTCCTTATGACTAGAAAAGAGGATGGCACAATAAGAAGAAGTGTATATAGAAAACTTACATCAACGAGAGCGTATATTCATTTTTTCAGCTTTGTGCCCTTGAAATACAAACACAATCTAATAAAGTGCTTGGTCCACCACAGAGCAAGAGCGATCTGCTTGGATGAATGTCTTGATGAGGAACTTAATAATATTAAACGGTTGTTGAATGAAAATGGTTATCCAGAAACGTTCATTGATAAGAATATGAATCTAAAATCAAGGCAACCTAAGATACCAACAGTTCCTAAAAAGGCTTTATTAGTACAACCTCAGTTCCTCAGGGACAACATCAGCGAGATACGAAGAAATCGCCTTAGAAATGCGGTAAAAAGAGCATTCCCTGCCGCTGAATTACGCTGTATCTTCAAAACGGCAAACTGCCTAATTTCGCCACTTCCATGTGTATCTACCAATTGAACTGCTCCTGTGAATCCATTTACATAGGCCGTACAATTAGGCGTGTTTCTCATCGGACTTCCGAACATCACACTGTGGGGTTAAATAAAGGACAAACAAAATCCATTCATAGCTCTATTCTACCTTATATTGTGAATACAGAACACAAGACTGATGTTAACCATTCTTTCAGGGTTATTTACTGTATACCAGTAAATCTTAATTTCGCCTTAAGAGGTCGATTACTAAATACTGCTGAGGCTGTTGGGATTCATATTAAGAAACCCAATTTATGCATCCAAAAGAAGCCGGTTCAGACATTATCCTTACCTTGCCCATCTAGCTTCGAATGATCCTCATTTTCTGGGGAAATTTCCCTAATTTTAGTTGATATTCTATTTGCTATTATATCTTTATTGTTATTATTATTATTTAAGCATCTTTAATGAACTGTAATTCCATTGATCTTAATTCACAAATCGACATTATTTAAAAAACACGAATATTGTTATTGACTACTAATTTAGAATATCCTTTGTATATAAACATATATATAATTGTAGAACCAGAAGAGGAGGAAATTATTGAAAAGGATATTCTTTGTTAAATTATTTTATGTTTTATAGATGTCTGAATGAATATTTTCGCTAAATATCAATCAATAGTATCAATAGGTTTATTTCAGTTCACTAAAGCATAAGTAGAAGATAGATAATATGCATTAATGTAACACTAAGCAGATTGAATATTAGATCAGATAAATTAAGGGAAGTAACACAAAGAATTTCTGGATATATAAGTCCGACAGAAGTCCAAGCAGCTGACTAAACCTACTTCTTTTGCATTGACCTCTCCCGTTCGGAGTGTTTGGTATCCAGGAGAGGCCTTCAGTAATTAGGTTCCTAGATCAACGGTTGACATAACTGGCTTGACAAAAGCAGGTGACAGGATTTCATCATGAGCTGACATCAGTTAGAGAACCATTGGAAAACCTGGGAGTACTGGACAGCTGTTTCGTCCTAGTTTGAGACTCTTCATTAGTACGCACCCACCGGGATTCGAACCCAGGACCTTCTGGTTACAAGACGAGCTTGTATACCATTAAGCCACTGGGACCCGATCCAATGGTCCATGAATTCTAACTTCTGCCAATTCACGACATAGCGCGACCCCTAGCTAATGTCTTCGGCGAGTATTTGTCCTCACGCCCGACCGGCTGCGCCCTATTGGTCACGACTTCTCACTAGAACCCCAGGTGACTACCCACCTGAATAGGGCAAGTCGCTAGTGAGTCGCTTGTACTCCCAGGTTTTCCAATGGTTCTCTAACTGATGTCAGCTCATGATGAAATCCTGTAACCAATCAAATCCCTACAAACCAACACTTGAAAGCAGGTGAATTGATACATACAAGAAGAGGTAGCTTTCCTAGGTACTTTACCCAACGTTCAGTTTCGGAATCAAAAATGGCTGCAGCTAACCAGAATTTAACGTTCTTTGAATCGACTTTCTCAGTTTGTCGGCTGTTATTTCACTTGGATACATAAAACTTTTGAATTATAGTCGCAAATATAAAAAGACTTCTTTTTAACAGATAGAGAAGACTTCTTCTCTACTCTCTCGACCATGTGCCCATAGCATTGAGCCATTCAGGGTAGGTGTTTTCCCTTAACGTGGTGCAAACGACCCTGAGTTCGTTTTCAGTCGCATCTTCTGGGCAAACAGCTCTGACACTACGGCTGAGGGTCTTTACCAAATTTGGTTTATTCTGGAAAGTAACAAAATTGGCCTGTCCAAGCACTTTTCTTATGAGGATTCCCTTTTATTCTGCTTACCGTCTGGTCTTCTTGTCAGTTGGACGTTTTAATGAGACAATTTTACTCCAGGATACTTCCTCACGCGTGAATTTGAAGGCTTAATGTACTTCATTGAACTGGGATATTATCCTCTTCTTGTCCAAATAATTTTCACAAAGAATGACGCCATCATCCATATATTCCGTCAATAAAGGGATAATTTTCTCTTCTGAAAAGGTGGTGTAAAGGACTATTTTCTATTTTACTCATTATATGATACCTTAGGGAATTAATGTTTTGTTAAATAACCGAAACTTTACCCCATTTTGATTGTCATCACAGTATGCTAGAATGCTCCTTTCCCCTCTATCCTCTAACGCCTTTGTATTTGTGCCTGTTCACATTATTTAAGGTGCTGAATATAAGGCGATCGCGAATGAAACACTTGAAGAATTGGAATGGTGCTTGAAACAACTGGAAAATATTCAAACAAAGCGACCTGTTTCAGATATGGCATTTTCAAAAGTGAGTTGTCCATTGTCGTCATTAAAATAATAATAATTGAAACTTTGCCGCCTCTTCCGAAACAACAATATTACAAAAGTTATATTCTGAAGCAAGTAAATCAAACAAAGTTCTAAGAAATCCTGAACTCTGATGAATCAACTATCTTTCTGTTGTGGTCTTTGTTTAGCAATTTCGAAATTTGTAAACTCTGTACAACAGTTTCCTTTTTTTTCAGACGAGAGTGAATAATTTCATTACATATATTTTGTAGCATAGAGTCAAACAGTTCTCAAGGCATGGAATGCCGAGAAGCACTTGTTTCTCTAACTTACAAAGGAACTGTTAAGCATTTTCTTTGTTGAATCATGTAAGGGAGAGAGCATTTCTGGTATACCAATGCGCATAAATGTATCTCTTCCTTATCAGAATAAACGCTGATTTGCAAATCAGATAAAGTGAGGTCAGCTGATCTTCACCGTGATTCTGTTCATTAGTAAAAGGAGTTTTTGCTAATGATTTCGGCACAGATATAACACCATACAGTCTTTGGGATAGAGCAACAGCAACGGTTTGTGCGGAATAGCATAGCACCACTGTTGATTCTGATGGTTTCTCATCAATTGCGTACAGCCTATTTGTTGAATTTTACTCGCTAAGCCTACTTAACAGAGATCAAAGGCAGTTGAAGGTATTTATATATTTTTATCAGTTATTATGGTCGCACATGGTCCGGGGTTCGATCCCCGGCCGACGCACTCCTCTACCTCGCTAAACCAGAAATAATACTGGTGAAGAGGAAAGGTTGGGCATGAGGCTAGCAACATCATCCTGTAAAATAAACACTTCTACAGAAACTTCAAGTCACCAGCTTGAAGCCCTATGTTTCACTGTGGAACCTGAAGGATAAAAAGTTATTATTCTCTTAGGTTCCGACTGGAACACAGGCCTTCAATAGCACATCTTCATTTCATCTTCTTTTCTACCGTCGTCTTTATTTGACTCCATGATTCCGCATGAGCTGTCATCGCCTGCTCACACTATCTCCTCCATATCATTGTCTAACCAAACGTCACGCAGCTCGTCTTTTCCACTCGAGCAATGACGTGGAGTCGCATGATGTCACTCAACAATCTCATAAGTGTTTGTCCATTCCACCTACATTTTCTTCGGCATATTTGTCGGTTGGTTCTTTGTTGTTAATAACTTCTGACCATCCAATCTTGAAGGAATTCGTAAGTTTCTGCTTATCAAACTTAGCAAAACTGACTGATGACAATAACAAACAGTGAATCCTTCAGTTATTCAGATTCCTAATAAAGTAACTACAACGTTGTTATGTCACTATCAAAGCATATTTTGACTACAGAATTCTCGTCGGATAGTTTTCTCCATATTTTAACCACTGAACACTATTATTTCATGTTTCTACAGCTATTCACCACTAATGTAAGAGTATTTTTTTACAATGTTCAACAGTCTTATTTGTTTCTCGCATTTCTGTTTCTGTTTGTAAACTCTTCCTACATACTTCCGAAAAAAGGAGCATTTCACAACATGTCTTCATGGAGTTTGTTACAGCTGAACAGTGCAATAGAAAGGCTCAGTCCAATATGTCGAAAGCCCACATCTGCAGCACCTAGATAACTGACATAATTGCTCATATCCAAGCTTTATCTTTCCCAGATACTTCTCATAAGACATATCGGAAGTTTTTTTTTACCTATTATGCTTATATGATGTCCTAGAACTACTGACTACCTGGATGCTTCACATTTTTATTCTGAGTAGATAAAAAACCTGGATGCTATTCACATTTTCAGTTTAAATGACGGTCATGAATTAAAATTGGACCTAATTATCTGAATAGGTCCAGTCAAAGTAACCTAACCCGATCGATAAACAAGGCTTCACTGCATAAATACACTTCTTTTGAGTATAGGCAACCTCACCTTTTATGCCATCAGCTTGAAATGAAAGGCTACTCAAACAAATACACATTAAGAGTAATAGAATTGCTAATAAACGGACTAATTACGAATGTAACAAGCATCAGTTAACCCCGATGACAGATCCTCCTGCAGGCCATTTACCAGCTGAAGTCAATATCAATGCATTTGGTTAGAATATCAGTGGACACTTCAGTTCCTAGTCCTTATTCCAGTCAGTTTCATGGGGTTCACAAAGTGGCCTAAATCTGCACTCAGGAGATAAAAGGTGCAACATCAATTGCTTGGCTGTACACTGGAGGCGACCATTTGGGTACCCAGGGGTGATAGTGAGAGACAGAGATCATGTGAAGGGGGAACGAAAGCTTGGGAGCAGTCGTTGAGCCAGCTGAATAGCAAAGAAGAAGAGTGAAGTGTCGATTTCCCTGTATTCCATTAGGTACACAGACAACGATTAATAATAGTAATAAATAATAATAACCGAGAGGTGCTTTGGCAACTACTTCGCTACTACGGGGTGCCACTGACAATTATACATCTCACCCAACAGCTGCATGCCAAGTAATCCACAACGGGAAACTTACGGAATCCTCCGAAGTAAGGACAGGAGTAAGACAAGCTGGCTGCCTACTATCGCCAATGATTTTCCTGATTGCAGTAGATTGGATAATGCGACAAACAGAGGGCAATGAGGAAACAGGCATAAAATGGACTCACACAAAAAACTTGGAGGATCTGGACTTCGCCGATGATATATGTCTGATTTTCCACAAACTGGAAGATACGCAAGCGAAAAGCAACAAGTTGGCAGAAGAAGCATCAAAGATAGGAGGGACTTCAGGTGAACATAGAGAAAACCGAGGTGATGAAGGTTCCTGGCCAACAGCAATGACAGCAACAACAACAACAGACAACAATCAGCATAAATGGGAGGAACCTGAAAGAAACAACCTCTTTTACCTACCGACCTGGGAAGCACCGTTTCAACTACAGGCGGACGGAACTGACGAGGATATCAAAGCAAGGATAGGGAAAGCAAGACAAGCTTTCACTACTCTCAAGTCTGTGTGGAGGTCAACAACACTCAGCACCAAAAATAATATCCGGATTTTCAACTCCAATGAGAAGTCAGTGTTACTTTCCGGATCAGAGACTTGGCGCGTCATAGAGAGTATCTCAAACAAACTACAGACCTTCACTAACCGGCCAGAAAAGATCAGCAACAGGGATCTCTGGGAACAAACCAACCAGGAACCGATTGTGAAACAAATAAGCAGGAAGAAATGGAGATGGATTGGCTGGTCTTACTCTGAGGAAACCATCAAGTGACATCACTAGACAAGCCATTGCTCGAGTGGAACCCGAAAGGGAAGCGGTGAGTTGGTCGTCAGTGTGCGGGTGACTTGCAGGAGGTCATTCGAAGAGGAGATGAAAGCGTGTGGGCAGACTTGGAGCCAGGTGAAGACTCTAGCAAAGAACCGAATGCAATGGAGACGCACGGCTGAAGCCCTATGTTCCTCTAGGAATTAAAGGAAACAATAATAATAATAATATAATAATAATAAGTTTACAACTCGATATTTATATATATATTCTTTTGCCTAAGATTCAAGCTATGCATGTTCACTTCATTTTTCTTCAGTTCAAACGTTTGCTAAACAAAGAGTTGAGCAGTTTTGGCGAAGCTGATAAATCTAGGCATCAAATATCTGCATACATTTGTGAAACATTTTTGGGTAAGTAAATTTTTGCATATTGTTTTTGTTACCTCTCATGATAATTACATCGTAAACTATTATTAGTGTAAATCAGTTTTTAAATAACATTTCCACTTGAGTTATTGTTTTATTTAAAGTGCCAATTAAAACAAGATTGGTTAAAAACATAAGGCGGAAAAGATAAAATTTTTCAGTTCGTTTGATAAATGTTTCTAACGACTAGTACTTTGTGTTAATCGAGTGCTTTTAAAATTTTGTATGACGTGATACAATTTTCCATTCCATGAATAATCAATCCTATTCAGATAGTATTGAAAAACAAAAGGAAGTAATTCAGCGAAGAGGCTCTTTTCGGTAAATTCATTTTTTCTCCCCAGCTGTACACTCGCATTTATATACAATCTGTTTTTCAACGAAACAGGATAGTAACAAAAGTGATGAGCGTTCATAAACATGGTTGTTAATATTAGCCAGTGCATAAGAGGAGTTGAGTAAGTGCATTCGAGTTACGTAATAGGATGAATAGTTTAATGAGCGAATATGGAAATAAATAAGAATTTTGAGGAAATACAAGAGCTATAAGGCGTTGGAAAAGCAAACTAATCAACAAAAATCAAGCGCGACAGAAATCAGCAAGGTTGTTACTGTGACAGTAGAGGCGGTTGAGTAGTTTTCCTTTGATTGCATGGAGGATTTCATCATGAGCTGACATCAGTTAGAGAACCATTGGAAAACCAGCTGGGAGTACTAGACAGCTGTTTCGCCCTGGTTTAGCACTCTTCATCAGTACGCACCCACTGCGAGGATTCCAACCCAAGACCTTCTGGTAACAAGACAAGCAGGTACACCATTGAGCCACTGAGATCCGATCCAAAGGTTCTTGAATTCTAACTTCTGCCAATTCACAACATAGCGCGACCATTTCGCAATGTCTGCTTGAGTTACTGTCTCATCTTCACCCTATACCCTACTGGGACCGTTAGACCGGGTCCCAGTGGCTCAATGGTCTACGAGCTCACCTTGTAAACAGAAGGTCCTGGGTTCGAACCCCGGTGGGTACATACTGATGAAGAGTCCCAAGCTAGGACGAAACAGTTGTCCAGTACTCTCAGCTGGTTTTCCAGTGGTTCTCTAACCAATGTCAGCTCACGATGAAATCCTCCATGCAATCAAACAAAATCCCTACAAAACCAATCCTTGTAAATTAATTTTCTTTTGTATGCGTAACTCTGGTTGCTTTATCCAAATGGCTAGAGCTTCAGCGATGCAGAAGAGATTACTTTCAAGAAGGAGTTTGTTGAGATTGAATGACCAGTATTGACTAGGTGTTCGATTATCGAACTCACTACAGAGCCAATATTGCCTTTCCGCAATCATGTGAGATAGGATACTCGGCTCTACAGGGGAACTGGTATTTTCAACCGCTATTCGACATCAGACAGTAATAAATCTGACTATGCAATACTGTCACGGTTATCAGTATATTTGAGTTTAACTTGCACTGAATTTGAGATAAATCTAGTGGCTACTTTAAATCTTCATAACTTTGCTACATATTATTGTCGTACTGAGTTCCCCTATGGCATATTCTGTTTTGTCATTACATTCAGAACAGGTCTGCTATATGTTGCACGCTTTAAACTACATGATTGCCGTGTCAGGACAGATGGTAACTTTTTCTCTTTGCCCAGAATGGAGTAGATATACTGAGGTCTGAACCTGGGACCCCACATGACTGACACTCGAGTGATAAGCTAGTGATAAAAGAAATGTAAACTCTCTACTGCAATCTTCCAATCCACATCCAATGAAAAGTTGGGTTAGCAGTCCCTGTAATAATATAACAGGTTGGGATTTCATAATTCAACCAATATAAGTGGTGTTCACTCTATCTGATGACTACACTCGTATTTCTAAGCGAGTGAACTGAGAGGAAGAAAACAATCTATGGTTGGATTCGTCACATAAATCTTTCTCAATAGCAACGCTTCATAAATTTCTCGTAAATCTTTGTTGAAGTGTGTCCTGAGGCCTGAAGATACTCAGTTTATTTGTTGTACTGACTTCAGTTATTTAATTGGATGTTGCGTTCACAGAATGGCGTCCTTCTTGTAACTACTATCTCAAATAAAGAACCATTTGAGCGTCATATGTATGCCAAAAGAAAGTATGCCCATCTACAAATATTTAAGTAGATGCTGCTTACCGACTGTTGTCTATCGCATGACGTCGAAAATTTATGCGCATAGTTTGACACACACCACCAATACTGTTCACCTCAGATGCCTGAATTAGTAAAGACCAACTTAGATATAACACTTGATTGCCGGATAGATTTCAGGATGAATGTCCAGTCTAAAAACAAATTCCGTCAACTGCTGCATAACTTCCTTTATTTATTTTTACCAATCTCTTTGCATTTCTGAAATTTATATAGCCTCTTCAATTTTTTCCCGGTTTCTTTCAAGAAACTGAAAAAGATGCTGAAGCCAATGAAGAGATTGAATCAATGCTGGAGAGACGACGTAGCAGTGGCCAGTCACACTGTTCCAACAGTGGACAAGACTCGGGCAATGGAAATAAACGGCATTCATCAATAGCCAGTGACGTGAACGCCAGTATATCCAGTGCGAAATCACCGGATTCCTCTTCAAAAGGAAAACTGGAATCTCCTGGCAGTGCATCCGCGGAATCGCATAAAGTTACCCAACCAAGTGATACAAACACGTCTGCAGCAAGACAGTCAATGACAAATTCATCAAAAGGAACAAATGTTGACGAGAAATCTGGAACAGACAATGCGTCGACACTTCCGATTCACGGTGTTGAAACTCCCAATGACAAAGAACTAGAAGAGGTAGGCTGTACTACTTAACATGAATTCTAGAGTTAAATGTATTAATTAAATCAGGTTGCTGATGACGCTTTTTACTGATGTGACTCTTCCACCTCTCGATAAAAACGAGATCAGATTTCAAGGTAAAACTTTGTTTGAAGTGAAATGTATATATTTCACTGGCGATTAAATGAGGCGCCATTAAAGAAAATAGTATCGCATACTAATGAAAGTAGATAAAATTACCGATATTTTCTAAAAATTAGGTCGAAATTTTTTTGTTTTGGAAAATTGTCTATCCTTTATTGAATAGTAATCAACACAAAGTGTTGATCGCTTGATTCACTAAGGGTTATTTATTCATATTAGAAAATTAAAACAAGTGAATCAGCGAACAGACTCTTTTCAAATGAATGTTATCATTCTGTACAATCGTACATATATTATGTTTTTATAACAGTTTTAATTGTGACAAAAAAAAATCGGCTATGTACTTCAACAAAATAGTTCATTAAAAAATATTTGAATTTCTAAGTACTGAATTCTGGAGAATTTGTTTGACTGGTTGATGGATTTCATCATGAGCTGACATCGGTTCGAGAACCATTGGAAAACCAGCTGGGAGTACTGGACAGCCGTTTCGTCCTAGTTGGGGACTCCTCATCAGTATGCACCCACCGCAAGGGTCAGAACCCAGCACCTATTGGCTACAAGGCGAGCTGGTCGATAATTAAGCCACTGGGACCCGAACTAGGATGAAGCAGCTGTCAAGTACTCCCAGCTGGTTTTCCAATAGTTTCTTCAACCGATGTCAGCTCATGACGAAATCCTCCAACCAGTCAAACACAACCCCTACAAATTATTACTTGGAAATTGATCTGATGATAACTAGAGACTACTCCTATTCAGGCAGTGATCTTGGGTTCTAGTGGGAAGCCGTAACTATTACGGTACAGCATGTCGAAGGTGAGGACAGTGACTCATTGAAGAAGACATTGCGAAGTGGTCGCGCTATGTCGTGAATTGGCAGAAGTTAGAATTCATGAGCTGTTGGATCGCGTCCCAGTTGCTTAATTATCTACCAGCTCACCTTGCTACCAGAAGGTCGTGGGTTCGAATCCTCGCGGTGGGTGAGTGCTAGTGAAGAGTCCCAGACTAGGACAAAACAGTTGTCCAATACTCCCAGCTGGTTTTCCAATGGTTCTCAAACCAATGCCACTTCATGATGAAATCCTTCAACCAGTCAAATATATAAATCTCAGAGGGATGTAGAGATAATAAGATCAGTAAGCAGCTAAAACATTAAGCAAACCGGTGGTAGGACAAAATTGTAAAAATTATATTGGAATAAATATATGAGGACAAGTGAGATAATACCGGAAATTGTTCAAAGTGAAATTATTAATAATAACAATCGACATGATAAGAGAAGGATATACAAATTAAATAAACAGAACGCAAAACAAATACGGCGCCAACGTATGAATAAACATTATCATACATTAGCATAGATAGATTAAAATCATGAGAGCTGGAGGGGTTGAACAAACGTTTTCTCTATACAGAGATCTGGCATGCCTATTCGATGGCCAAAGCTTCAGCAATACAGGTGAATCGGATACTTAGTGAACTGGAAAAATTTAAAGGAAGTGACTGTACAGGTAGAGTGACCAGTATCGACTAGATATCTCATAGCCCCGTTTCCACCTCTTCATACGCATGCAGGATAGCCTTCTTGCACTCTATTGGACAAAACCCTAGTCGAACGACTGATATACCTAGCTCCAAAAGAGCAAATGAAACGATAAACGCACACAGAGTTGTTCAACTGTTGGATCCTGTCACTCAGGTCATTCAGCAGTGGTGGTCGACCAGAAGACACTGTTCATAACAATTTCACAGAGAATGTCCCTTTAAAGGACTGTGAGATTCTCCTTCCAAGGATTTCGTCAGCTAAGTCATCATTGGATTCAAGGTTCATATAAAGAATTTTCTTGGTTACAAACGTTAAATTACATTTCACAGGTTTTAACTGAATATGTTGTCAACAAAATGTGGCAGCGATCCACTTTCCATTAGGATTTCTCTTAGAAGATTTAAATCTACCTCCACTGCAGATACGCTAAATTCGAATGCCAAGTGATCGAATCAAGTTGCGTTTTCAACCAATGATTACCCAACTATAGAAGTCTATCAGTTGATCACCCCATGACAGCTTTTAATAAATTGATCTCCTCAAAGTTTTACCAATCCTCCTTGGTAATTTCACATCAAGAAAATGAATGTTAGACTCGTTCTCTATTTCAACTGTAATGAATTTTATCGGTAGATGGCAACTAATTAGTATATTATTCTAATTATAAACATCATCACATAGGGTAAAGGTGTCATCTACGCCACCTTTATAAAAGTGAGGACGTTAGATTGCTAACTTCATCAAGCCTTGATTGATCCAGATCACTCTCTACATAGATACATACCTGTTTTACTTGGTAAATATAATTTTATGGAATTCCACCTACACGTTTTTCTTCTGTTGTTGCACCAACAATACGAACCTGAAATAACGTGACTCATGGGAATAAAGGGGATCAGCGCCGACATATTTTAAAGCGATAAAATCAGAAATAGGAGGTATATGTATATATATATAAGGTTGAATCATTGCCGAAAACAAATAAAATTTATTGTTTCAAGTTTGAGCACAGATTTATATCAGTCTTAGAACCACTGGAAACCAGTAGGGAGTACTGGACAGTTGTCTCTGTTGTCTTAGTTTTGAACTCACGCATCCACTTGACTTCGAGGACTTCAGGACCTTCCGGTTACACGTCAATCTCATAGACCATTCAGCCAGTGGGACCAAGTGACATTGGCTAGTGTTAGTCGCCCTATAGCCACGAATTGGTGAAAATTAGAATTCATGGACTATCCTTTGAATCCATGCGTCGGTGGCATAGCGGTTAGGACGCTCGCCGACCCTGCACATGGTCCGGGGTTCGATCCCTGGCCGAAGCACTCCTTTACCTCGCTAAGCCAGAAATCAATGCTGGTGAAGAGGAAAGATTGAGAATGAGGCTAGCAACCCCATCCTGTTAAATAAACACTGCTAATGAAACTTCAAGCCACTAGCTTGAAGCCCTGTGTTCCACTGGGGAACGTGAAGAAAAAAAATCCTTTGAATCGGGTCCTAGTGGCTGAATGGTCTACGAGCTTACCTTGTATTGGGATAGTCCTGGCTTCGAAACCCATTGGGAGTGAACCACTAATGAGTACCGAACTAGGACGAAACAGCTATCTAGTTCTCCGTATTGGTTTTCAGTGTTTCTCTAACCGATATTAATCCGTGATTAAACTTGAAACAACTCAAGTCCCTACAGAGTAACTCTTGAACATTCACTATGTGTACCGTCCGTCTCCATCCATTTCACGGCATCAAGAATGAGCTAGAAAATAGCATAATGCTGGAAGCAAAATGCTATCAGAGAATTTACTTTGTTTAATTAATAAACCACGCATGAATACGGATACGTGTATGCAGTGTATTTATACGTGAGTAACTTTTCATTTTATATTTCAGAGATTTACTCAAAGCTTAGATGAATGGGGTTTGGATATCTTTGAAATTGATCGGTTGTCCAACGGACATGCACTCACAACTGTAGCCTACAGAATATTTCAGGTAACATTTTGTTTTGATTTAGAATTTTTATACTTTCAAATATGATTGGTTGTCATTCATCATTTATGCTAGCTAACTAACTAACTGAAAAAGTGAATTCAACTCAGGCTAAGTAAGATAGATGGCTAAATAAATGGCTAGCTAGCTGGCCACCATGATAGATGGATAGATAGTTAAACAGAGTGAAATTACTCGGAATATTGCGTCAGTTAAAGATGTGGTGATATATATGTATATGTATATACACACAGGAATAGGCATTCACGTGAACGAGAAGATACGTCAGAAACAACTGGAATCAAAAAAGGGGTATGGTCTAAAGATGAATTAGTATTGACGAAAGAAGGACAGAGAGATAAAGTTAGAGAGAGAGAACTAATTTATTGCGCAAACAACAACAATTTCGGAAGTTTATTCTTCTAATGATTTCCTAGCAATAATTGAAGATGAGAAATCTCTAATTCCCCATTTTGTTTGTTTGTGTGTGTGTGTGTGTAAACCATAATTTATCATGAGTCCTGATTTTGTTAAACTAAGATGGCCTTTTCTGCTTTCATTGTACGCTTGCATCAATAATCAGACAAGTGGGCAGTGGGAGAAATCAATGGTTATTTCAGCAGTCGGGACTGATGTGCACTTATAGGCGAAATACTAGAGACTTAAAGTGAAGCTTCAGTTGGCAGACGTTATTCGTGTGCGGTCGCCTCTTTCGCCATCACTTCATGATTTCTGTGCCATTTCACCAGGGTCTAACATTTCTCCTCTTTACAATGAAATCTATCACTTTGCTACTCAAGATTTTTTGCAGAAGTCGTCGCATGCAGTGTACTACTTATAAATGTTTACTCTGATTGGACACTAGGTAGTGTCATGAGTCTGGTGTTTGTTGAAAGTTGTTGCAGACTGGATTCTATAAGTGAAGTTTACAATGTGATCACCATTCCAGATGGGTCGTAATCTAAATTGTTGGCATTAGATGGTTGGAGGCAATCGGCAGGAAGACCTGCTTGAACAAGGTTTCGTGCAAGTGTATCTGCAATCTTGACGCATAACGCTACTTATTACCTAATTTTCTCATCAGTGTATCCATTTCACCCTATAGGAGGTCGATCACAAGCCCGAAGAGCTCAGTGGTAACGTCTCTGACTGCAGCCTGCTGCACTGGGTGAAGCGGGTTCGAATCTCAGAAGGGACATGAGTTCCTTCGAGGTTGCAGATACGCCTTGCTCAGTGGTGAGTGCCAACTAGCACGAAACCTAGGTCCAAGACTTCCTGCCGATGGCCGCCAACCATCTAATACCAACAATTCACCGTGCAACGTGATGACGAGCCACATAGTGGCATGCTGGCCACATTGCACTGATAGAATCCAGTCTGTAAGAAAGATAGGACTAGGCATATTACACTAGTTACTGACTAGTGTACAATCAGGAGGTCAATCGAGAGACCGAATAGTTCAGCGTTCATATCTCTAAATGAAGATCTGGGTGACTAGAGTTTGAGTTTCAGAAGCGGTATGAGTTCCTTCAAAATTGCAGATCCACCATAAAATGACACTAATGTCAACAGGAACAAAAACTAGGTTTAACCATGGCTCCCTGTGCATCATTCCCGACCATAGAACTATATATGAATTTTTAAAACTAACGACAATAACAGCTTAATTTTGAGAAATGCATTTGTACACAATATAGGATTTTCAGCGGGTATTCTCTTCCTGTGAAGAATCTTCAAATAATTTAATATTTGATAACATGTCATCTTAAGGAATATTGTTCTAGACGAGGCTTCCTCTAGTATAACTTCTCCATTCCCTTCAAAAAACTGCCAGTATTAGGTAGAAACTTCTTTGAAATAGTAGGCAAGTATGAACTGTGACTCACTGTGGCAGTTAGATCAGTAAATAAAATGTCAAAAGGAATAAACCTGATGCCGTTTAACGGATAAAAACTTTAGGTAGCCTAGTGATTTAGGCAGACCTCTGCATTCCTGTCAGTAGCTTACTCCACAAGTGTATATTACAACTGGCTTAATCGCTATTTTATCAAGCGTAATTACTTGCCTAGCGCAAGATATTTACATATAAATAGATGGTCAGCATTACTTTCTTCATGATTGTAAATCTTTTCAAACAGTCAGAGTTTTAGCCTGGCTGCATCACCAAATCAAACGCCTTGACTACTGAATATCCGGTCTAGTCATTAAAAAAAATTTCAAGCGTATAAAATCTGATGTGTGAAGCTTCAGATTTCCATGGCTCTTTCTCGTTAGTGAATGGTAGTGATGAGAGAAAAGAAGAGGAACGACACCGTTCATCTTACGCTCCAATGTAAAGTGTTACGAACTTGTCCTGTTGTAAAGTAAAATCGGCTTGAAGGTCCCAGCTTGAATCCCTCTCCAACTACTTCAGTCTGAGCAACGGGCCCGTTTCCGTCAAGTTGATGGTGTCGCAATGGGAAGCCCCTTGGGACCACTTTCTGCAGACTTATTCTTGTCAGGCCTAGAATCCGGTACTTTGCAGCAACACACACAAGAAACGGATGTATACCTGAGATATGTTGATGACATTTTTATTGCCTGTGGAAGCAGATCAAAGGCCGAAGACATGCTGATAAAATTCAACTCATATCATCCTAATCTCAATTTCACAATACAACACGAGGAATACGATACTATTAAATTCCTAGACGTTTTTCAAGTGAAAATGAATGATGGCACGATCGAAAGATCCATATTTAGAAAGTCTTCATGGACAGGACAGTACGCGCATTTCAAGAGCTTTCTTCCAATCCAGTATAAAAAGAACTTAGAACACTGTTCAATAGAGCACGAAAAATTTGTTTTAACAGTACTATTGAGTATGAAATAAAATCTCTGAAGGATATTTTAATTTAAGAATGGATATCCGGAGAAGTTCATTAATAAATACTCTAAAGAAATGAGCCCCTGCAAAACTACCCAAACAGTTCCGAAGAAATCTGTCTATATCAGTTTGCCATTCAAAGGAGATGATGTACAGTAAATAGTCAAACGAAGACTCGACAAAGCCATCAAGAGAACTTATTATGCTGCAAAACTTGTTTTCCTTAACACCACTAAGCGAGTGCTTCAACAATCTGGGAAAGACCAGTCGCCAATCCTCGACACTTCAAACTGCGTATATCAATTTGAGTGTGTTTGTGGAAGCAAAAATATAGGTCGTACGGAAAGGTGATTGTCTACTCGCATGATAGAGCACTTGCCAAAATGGTTGAAAACAGCTGAGTGCAAAGTGTCAAAACATCTTGTGACTACGGACATGATATCGACGCGGTTAAGTCATTCACTGTTGTTAGCAGACAAAGAAACAAGAAGATGCTTGCAATTGCAGAGGCTTGTGCAATTCGAGTTTATAAACCAGGTCTCTGTGTACAAAAGGAGATGGTCGTGACTCTGAATTTACCATGGTAATACGTTTTACTTATTATTCTATTATTTATTATTATTAACATTATTATTATTTTTGATTCATTTAAAACTAACCCTTATCAGTGGGATTATCTTAACTCACTTCAACGCTATTATTATTATTGTTATTATAACTATTACTATTGATATTACTCTGTTTGCAATTCTTGTTATATTCTCTAATGACTAATTGTTTATCTAAGTGATGTAATTCAAGCGTTATGCAATATATCTTAATTTTGATCTCTCATACTCTCTTCCCTCTTATCTATTTGAGCATGACCTGGAAAACATTCGCACCTGTCTTTCTGCATGACTAATTCAATGTAGTTTATTTGCTTTTCAGTCTTATATCTCCCAATGTAATTTCAAAAGTATATATATATATCTCCGTGTATGTAGAGTATTCAGCCGATGAAGAGTCCTACCAAAGTTTGATGAATTCATTAAATCCTGCCTAATTAACCTTTATTGCTTGTTTTAAATTCGTATCGGGAAATAAATGTTTTCAATACATGATAAATCTGTAACTGACCTGACTTTTAACTTCAATTTCTGTATTATGCAGTAACAACTGGAAAGTTTTTGCTTCTCCATTCATTGTATAAAGAAAATAAGCACTATCAGCATCTCCTAGAAAGTTGGAATGAATTCTCACTACTTTAGTGAATTAATTGTTTACCTAACTTTTTTGAACAATATCTTATTCACCTCATCTTTGGCATTATTCAGTGACAAAGATAACTGAACTATCCATGACATCATACTCTTGAAAACAACTTCTAATTCTTCTAACACAATACAATACAGTCGATTAGTCAATCAAGTAAATGGAATCGAACTAAAAAGAAAACAAAATCCTTGAAAGTCAAGGATGATGAGTTATTTTTGTTTATTTATCCTCTCGGTGTGTATGTGTATATGTGTGTCCCTGTTTGTGTTTCTCCCGCCCCCCCCCCCCACGTCTCCGTCTCCGCTTATTTATACGTGAAGCACTTAACGCTTCCCCCTTTTTTCTATCCTTCACTGGCCTACACACCCATTCAGCTTTATTCCCATTTTGCTCTCTCGCTCTCTCTCTCTCTGTTCTGCGACAGTGACAGATGAAGTTTGATTTATTCGATACAGTGAAGTGGTTTGTTTACTGATTGATAACGCACTGTTTCGCCTACCACCCCACACAACCCCCCCCCACACACACACTGATCAACTCTTCAACACTTAGATCAGTTGATAGTCGGATGGATGATAAAAACTCCGTATTCACCACTGTCCAAGGAGTGTATATTGTTTTTCTTTTATGTACAAGAATGATGTGAACACCTTGTTAAATGTCCCGTTCAGCTACATTAGTATAAATATATACGCATATGTTCATTAATTACAAAGCTTTATTCAACTCATTTCATTGACACTATTAACCTATTTTGCATTCTAAGATTGATGGGATAGATTCTAGGAAAAGATGACTTGATGGATGGATGGATGGATGTGTTAGGCAAATATCTATTAATATAAAATACGACAAATACGATTGTTTATGCAGTCTGAGA